GCCCGTGGAGGATATCTTCTTCGTCCCTGCCCGTCGTCTGGTCGATCTTGACCAGATTGAGCAGCGCGTTGGCGTGGAAGTATGGCTGCCGATCGTGATCGGTCATGCGCACCACCACCTCATACAGTTCCCGCGCCTCGTCGTACTCGCTCTTCTCAAACTTGATCCCCGCTTCGATGTCCAGTACATTTACCTCCCTCGAAGAGCCCTCGTGGCCATATGTTGCCAAAATATCGCGGCCCAGTTTGCATAGATCGGACGTATGGCGCAGTCTGGCTATGGTCCAGTACGCCGTTGCTTGTTTTTCTGCAAGCTGTTGCCCCGAGACGGAATAGCCAATGCTGGTGCGGCGGAGGTCCACCTTCAAACTAATTGCGTTGAGCTGCTCCTGGATGTTCTGCTTTTCGGTTTCCGTCATCCCGAGCGCATTAAATTTCAGCGCCTTCGGGAGGTTGCCGCTCAGATAGTGGTACCTAGCGGCGACTTTGTAAAATTCAACTGCGGTGCGGATTGGTTAGGTCTGTGGATATGAGAGTCTACACGCACGGCTGGCAGAAGGATCTTGTTGCTGCTCGTAGTACTGAATTCCCTCCTGGATTAAAATTTCCGCCTGAGCCGGCGCAAGACTGTAATAGTCTGCGACATCGAGGCATGAACATATATGCTCCCAATGCAGTTGTTGATCTCCGCTCGACTGTATGTGCTCCACGACGTGGTGAGCCAACGGAGTCCTGCCTTTGAGAACATTTTGTGAAAAAAGATCCAAACTGAGCACAGTGCGCATGAGTTTCCGTCGCTCGGCGCCGAGAACCGTTCGGGACAATGCGATTTGGGTGACAATTTCGATGTTGCCGAGGTTCGATGTGAGTCGCGAGACAAGATCCGCAAACACTAGTTCTTTGTGTGATTTCCAAAGCGTTAGAAGACTGTCCCAATGCCGGCCAAGACGCTCCACTGCCCCACACGGTGGTGGGGAGACACGCTGCATGTATTGGCGGATGGGGCTCAATGTCTTGAGGCGCCCGTGCTCCATGTAGGCTAACGATATGCGGAGGAGCGCCGCCCTGGCATGCAGGATGTTGGGAATATCTACAGCGTCGCGTGAAAGGAGATCTACTTCATCAAGTCCGTCTGGCAGCAATGAAAGCAGACTGAGAAGGTCTTTGGCGTATGGCGAGGACAGCATGCGCGGGCTCGACAGAGAGATGGCGATAGATTTTTCAAGGTTCGATCTTTTATCGTAGCCGTTTGACAAAAGGGCAGTGTTCTCGATTTTCCAGCGTCGTAAAGTGTTTGAATAACCTTCGTGCGATGCTACGGCCGCCATGAGACTGACCTGTGAAGTAAATGAATATTATTTGAATGTGTCGGAGACGATGGAGAATCCTCACAGCTAGAGGTAAGTTTCCGCTTAACTTGAGCAGTTCGTCGAGATCCTCTGTTTCTTGGCCAGAAGGTTCATCGGCAATTTCGATGAACGTTTGGCGTGAAGCAGATGGGTCGAGCGGTTCCAACGGAGGAAGAAATGGACGAGTCCACTTTACTTTAGCCGGTCTTTCAGCACCTCGCATGGTGATCTAAAGTTTATTTAGCATGGGTTTAAAATAAATAAATCACAGACTCACAAGCAACGATAATTGCGGCACGTCGCTCAACAACGAAAGCAACTCTTCCACCTCAGCTCGACCTTCATCTTCCCAAGCTGTTTCAAGATTATCCAATACCAACAGCGTACTTCCGCAATTAAGAAAATGGTCAATGATAGATTTCAACAGTTGCTTCGAAGGTTCGAGGTGAAGATGAACACCAATTATATTAAGGAGCTGGTTGTGCTGGAATGCCGATTCGCAGGAGATGAAATGTCGCTGGTCATATTTCGAGATGATTCCGGATGATGTAGTGTGGCGATTGCAAGGGTTGTTTTGCCCATGCCACCTGGGCCCAAGATCGCCAAGTAAGCTGGTTGAATCTGCAGAGTTGTTACGATCTGCATTAGCTCCGGATCTCTCCCATGGAAAATCTTGGGAAATGGCGGCAACACAGAGAATATACTGGAACTAAAATCATCGGTGAGGAGTCAGCAATCTTGAGCATGGAGTCGACATTTACCTATTGCTTCCTCGGAACTGAGACTGAGTTAGATTCTAAGGACCACAGAAAAAGATGGAGCTCACCGAAACTGGATATTCTGACGATTTCCCATCATCTTGAGAGGCAAGAAGGACCAAAAGTTCTTCATGTCGCTGTTGTGCATTGAACTCAAGTTCAACCAGATCAGCGGCCAGACTGCCTCCAGTTCGTATCTTGGTAGATTATCATCAATCACGAATAGGTCCTTCAAGTTGAAACGAGATACCTTGAGGTGCTCCAGAATGGCTTGCAGTTCGGTCTCGTATGCACGAAGTCGGATACCGATTTCATTTTGTCGAATGAAGCGCTTGATCTTCCCTAGCTCCTGTTGTATTTGTAACGACGTCTGGATCTTCTGAACGGTCCTGGACAACAGAAATGAGAACGTACAGAGCATCTTCTGCGTCGACGCAGCCTGAACATATTACTTAACAAAGTACGCAACATCATCCAATATGTTGACCGGGAGAACGCCTTGTTCCTCCAGGTATATATGAACGACGGCGCAGAGAAGTTGATGTACGAGTCCCACAACGCGCAAGAGCGTCCCCTGATTCGTTTTCATCCTCTAAATTTCACAACTTCAGTTCAGACGACAGACAGATAGTAAAGCAAACACGAACATCGATTTCACCAAATAAAAGTAAACTTGCCCCAGCAGCATCTTGCAGGAAGGGCATATGTGAGGCTTGAGTGAGATCTCGAAGAATTTCTGCCGCAATGGCAGCGTATTTGAGATTTCAGAAGTGTTGCCTTTCGGCCTCGATGCTGCGCTGGTCGTTTGCATTTCCGAGGGATGAATGGAGCGTGAAACCATCTGCGGCCAGAACACAAACCTTTCAATTTAGGTGGTCGAAGATAGCGAAATTAGCTTGGCATGCGACGGGGACGGTTTCCGGAAGATTGAAACGATCCGTCAGTGATGGAACATGGCTGAGAAGAAGATTCCAACTCAGGCCGTGCTTCAGTATTAAAATTTGGGCGCCGTAAAATCGCCTGAGGTTCCCAGGGAAAACAGAGGCAAATTGCAGCGGTTGAAAATAGACTTTGGTAGACCCATCTCAATATAACCTAATATTCCGAGATACTGGTACGCGCCGCCACCATGCATGCCAGTTCCCACGGCAGGGCAAAGTGTACGAATGGAAGCGACTCCGAGTTGGACTGTACAGCCCGCGAAACAGTGAACACGGCATTCAAAAAAGTGACCAGGCAAAGCAGTCCAGATGATATTGGTTTAAAGTGAGAACGGCCAGCGTCGGCAAGACCAATTTAGTCGACAATGTACAATCATGACGAGCTCTGAAACTGATTTATTAACCCGCAATCAAGCCAGATGAACGAAAACCAGTGCGCAAACGTACGATATCGTTGGACAGCTAGTACACCAAAAGCATCGTAACAGCACCATTTACCTATCTTGGTAATAACACGCCCTCAAGTAAAATAGCGTGCCGTGATCTTCTCTACCACCGCGTCGCTCGTTGTTTGCCAATGAGTACTCCAACGAATCCCCTGTCCAGCGCCACAGCGTCAACGATTTCCACGCATTTCCGTTGGGTCTCTTCGTTCTGTCAACCTGGCCGTCCACGTCTAAAATCCACTTTCAAGTTGTGTAGGACTCGTTATCGTCATGGTACGTGTCGGGGCGGTAGGATCGCAGGGCCCCGGCAAGAGGAGTTGAAGGGGCAGATCACGCGTTGCACCAGGCTCAAGCAATACCGTTAGCTATGTGAGCGGGGATCAATTTTCTGGATCTTGAATGAATGTGACACATTAGTAAAATGAATCAGAAGCAAGAGCGTCCTTACAATGACATCCTTCTCGACGATGATGTCTAGATTTGTGAAATTGCGCTTGTAGGCAAGTATATCCCCTTCGCGAAGAACCGAACTCTTCGCCAGATCGACAAGTTTGAGTTCTGCAGCCTCACTAAAGTGCGAATTTAAAAAAATGGTAAAAAAAGACGGCGAAAACTTACCCCGCACGCGTCGAAGATGAATTTGCGTGGCTTGTCGCTCTCGACTCTTCTTTTTGATTATCACGTTCCCAAACCTCGTCTTTCCACGGGGCCGCAAGACTACCGTCTTTGATTCCCTGCTCGTACTTTTTCACCTTTTCGACATGTGTGTCAGAAAGCCAGTTGGAATATATGTGATCCTGGAGGGTGTGTGCGGCAGCAAGAAAATGGGCGTCGGTGAAGAGGGATGTATCTATGGAACCCGACCCGTTCAAGTCAACGTTCATCGATTCTGCTGCTGCGGGATGGTCGGACCGAGAGTGGTTGAAAAGAAGGGAAAGCAGTAGGGGGCAACAAGGCAGCTAGCCGGGATTGTGAATCCGGCGAAAGCATATTCCAAGAGTTCGCATTAATGAGGTCCTGAGAGCGCCGCGAACATTGAGTTCCTTCCGAGTGTGTAGCCGGCAACGCACAGATATATCATCTTCGTGAGACGACTTTTCGGATTTTGCAACATGAAACGGAGCTGTTCTGCAGGATTCACATCGTCTTTGGCTTTGCGCTTTGATGGAACATTTTCTGCAACTGGAATTGCTTCACGTTGAGTGGGTTTCGGTTTTCGATTCGAACGTCGAGGAGCATTAGAGTCGTCTGCCATGGGAGTTGTGCGTAAGTGATGTTTGACCGTGTTTAGCATTGTTCAAGGTAACGTGATATCTTCTGCTTTCAACCACCCAAAGTTTCTGGACTCTCTGTATGCGTTAATTATTCTGGAGCTGCGAGGGGTCCGTGGTGGAGTGGTTATCACTTTGTCGAAGGGAAAATCAGGTACGTTCGGGTTGACGCGAGAAAAGAATAAAACATGATCACGTGCAAAATCTCCGTTCTTCGTGCCGCAAAACAAAAAAAGTGAGTCCGGCCAGGATCGAACTGGCGAGCTTTTGTGCACACCTAAAATTGTAAGACAAACGTGATAACCACTACACCACGGACCCCTCGCAGCTCCAGAATAATTAACGCATACAGAGAGTCCAGAAACTTTGGGTGGTTGAAAGCAGAAGACGTCTGGAATACATTCCATCGCCGGTCTGAGACTCTGGGTGGCATGTCCAGATCAGGTCACCGTTCGATTCTGGCCAGACGCGGTTTTTCTTTCAAGTTTTCAGAATTGCGGAGACTTTACACGTGATCGATCACTTTCTGTCGCGTTTGCTGTGACGTGTTCCTTTCTCGACGCGATGGCTGCAGGCGTCTCCCTATCCTTTTCGTCACTACTGCGGCTGGCGTAATCGTCCCATGGTTCTACTTTGGAATCCACAAATCTCCAGAACGGCCCTTGACTTCCACTCGGTCTCTGCTCAATATATTTCTCCTGCTCACTCGCTCTACTTTCTGTACCAAATTATCGTCTTGCCGCCCGTGAATATCTTCACGCGTCTCAAGATACCATTAAACACGCCCACCGATGCGATCCGGAGCATCTTGATTCAGCAGTCAGACACGGGAGACCTTCCAGCGCCACTCGCGATGCTGCTCAAACATCTTGGATCGTTTGACGTGAAAACGTACTACGTTCGGTGCGTTCAATTCACGCACAATGTCTTTCAGCGTCCTAAATCACCACCTGGTCAGTTCGGCCACTCGGTGGTCTCGACGTGCGATTACTGTCTCTCCTTCGAAGAATTCGGCTTGTTTGCGCTGCCGCGAGTCTTGCTTTCGTATGTCTGTGCAGTTGCCGTCATCGGGGTAAGTCCCTCAGTTCCTTGAAAGATCCTAGCATTCAAGGTTTTTTGTAGATAGTGACCATTAACAACTCTGGACGTGAGCGTTACCGCACACTCGCTGTCGCCGCCGTGCGGGAGCCTTTTGCGTCGAAGTATACTACATCTCCACTATCGCCATAGAAATCCCCAAAGACGATAAACCCGTGTTCATGGTACGTGCGCTCTATTACTCGCGTATATTCGGTACCGTGCTAACTCACCCGCGCAGTGGCACGACAACTGCTCCTCCTCCGGCGCCTCCTCTTCCTGATATTACCACCCCTGGTACACATGCTCCCGCCCTCCGCGTCCGCCGCCGCGCTCGTCAACCCGACAGTCACGGCCGTGCGTGCCGCAGAGCAGACCGCGGTACGGCTGCAGCTCCTGGCCTTCGTGCGCGGCGCCGTCATGCGTGTCCCCGACCTCCGCGCGCGCGCGGCTGCGTGGTGGGCGGACGAGGCGCGCGAAGGCGACTGGGTGCGCGAGGACGAGGGTGTACGGGATCTCGCGCGGAAGCTAAACAACGGATTCGACGAAGGCGGCTCCGACGGCGAGGGGGCGGGTCCGCTGCGTTCGACCGCGCGGAATACCGTCACGGCGCTCAAAACGGCTTTTACGCCGAGCGAGTATTGGAGGGTGTCTCCGTCATGATCCATCCCGATGTAATGTACACTAGACTTACGCATATTCACTTGTAATCATTTTGGAGACTGGCAAGGAGAACGAAAGAAGAATAGCATAACACAAAACGTATTAAGTAGAATATGCAGCGGCGCTGCTGTCGGCACCCAGCATCTAGCAGTCCGACGCGACGTGAAATAGCTAGAACAAAGAAAAACAATAGAATAATAACTAACACGCCCCATATTAGACGGAATTGAGATACACAGCAAGACTGCCGTCGTTTTTATGGGACTAGTAATCGAAACCCTCGACTTTGAAGGTTTTGCCGTACTGCAGGTAACTGTCCATAATTTTGAGAATCGGTTCAGGAAGTCCCATGCTGAGCAAGGTGTACGAGATTTTGGCGTGTCCGTGGACCTGCCCCAGCTTGAAGAAACATTGCGCGATTTGTGTCGGGTACTATATGCCATTGAGTATACTGCGTAGTCGACTCTGATGAAAAACGTACCGTCATCTCCGTGTACTCCGCATACTGGTACGCTGCGACCCGGATAGCCGTCTGTATCGACCGCTGGATGTCGCCCTCGTCGGCATACATCTCCATGAGCTTCGACCACGGCTTGACAGAGTAGCGCGGGGTGTCGAGACAGCGCTGGTACGCCTCCTTCGCCTCCTCTTTGTGATGCAGCCGCATCCCCAAGTCTCCCAAGATCTCCCACTCGAGCCCCGTCTTGCGGTACGCGACGTGCTGCGTCTTGAAATGCGCCACCTCTGCGCGGAAAATCGTCCACACTCTCAGGTCCTAGTGAACGGTCAGTTGCAAGCTCAGCAGACTCAAAAAGAAACTAGGTACCTCATAGAGCACCATGAAGAGGTTGTCCAGCCATCGCTCGCACAACCGCTTGTTGCTGAACGAGAACGGTTCCTGCGGCAGGGGCGACGCCGGCTCCTTCGCTTTCTTTGCATCCTTCTCCGCCCCGTGACATCTGCCTCGTCATCGCCTGCCGCAGCCTGCACTGGCCGCTCCAGCGTATCCGCCGCAGTCGCGGTCGAAGGCGCACCACTATCCTTGTCGCGATCCGACTCCGTCGAGATCCGGATCGTCGGAATCCCATTCTCGTTGGCGTTCCCATTTCCGTTCACCTCGGGGCCGATGCGCTTATGGGACTCGTAGCGGAGACGGCGCTCCCGCCAGGGCTCACCATCCCTCGCGTGGACGCGTTGTCCTCCTCCTCGCCCTCCGCAAGCGTAGTCCCTTCCGCGGACTCCGACTCCGTGCGTACATGGTTAGCAATGTCGCCGTGGGCCTTCTGCATGCGGTATTCTTCCTCCATGACGAACACTGAGCTCCGGGTCTTGAGCAGCTCGTCCCAGCCGATCTGCGCGACGAGCCGCGTGAGGAGTGCGTATGCACGGGCCCATGTGCCACGCAGTCCGGGAGCAGGGAGACGCTGGAGAGCAGGATCGGCCTGGGAGGTTTTTTAGTCGTTGTAGAACTGAGAGAGGAGATACAAGGTACCTCATCATCCTCCGTCTTTACGCGGTCTGGCAAGATCTCGCCTATCGAGCGATGAAACGGCAGGTGAACCCGGGAGGGCGTGAGCTGTCGGTGTGCGTCGCGGCCATTGAACGTGAACATCGGGCACGAGTTGAGCGTGAGCAGTGCCTGCGAAAAATCAGTCCGGTGTGTCGATAAAAGGAAGGGAGCAACACGTACCGACTCGAACATGCCCAGTTCAACGTACACCTCTGTGAGTTTCTCCCAGTAACGAACTCACTCGGGGCGGCATTAACTGCCTGCCGCGCAAGCTTCAGTCCCCAGTCTGCGCGGCCCTTGTCTCGCAGGAAGTCGCATTGTGCATGTAAAAGCGTATATGACGATGGCCCGGGCATACTGCGCAACGCCGTCGACATGATGTTCAGCGCCTTTACTTCCTCGTCTGCGAGGGTGATGTCAGTGTCGGTCCACACGAGCCATTAGACCACGTACGCATCCCGAGGTACGCGCGCGCGAGGAGGGAAGAAACCTCAGGCTCGCGCACAACGATCTTCTCGAAGAGGTTCGCGGCTTGCTGATAGCGTCCTGAGGTACCAAAGTACTTAAGGAGGCCGGCCGTAAGGTGGTTCGTCGTCACCGACGCAACCTGGATTTCAGGATCAGAACCGACCTGCCAACCTGCCCTGGAGTGAGCAATGAGCGATATGCAAGGAAGGGAACCCACCCTTGAGGAATAGTGCCTCTGCCGCTGCCAGGAAGCGTAGCTCGCCTTCGGGTGAGGTGATGGGGTCAAGCTTGCGATATGCATCGAGGGCATGGGTTGGGTCGTCGGAATAGAGGATCGCGCGCAGGAGAGCGGAAACATAAGTCTCCTGCCACATATCCGCGGTAGCTTCATGTCTGTCCGGAATCAGACCTAGAAGGATCATACCAAACGAAGAACATACCGCTCGCCGCGCAGATCGACCACATATGCAACCACACCACCGGGAATCTTGACGTCGACGCGGAAGTCGACGCGCGAAAAGGCATTGAAGCAGCAGTAGCAGCCGTTGCGCACTTTCCAGACTGGGGTCTTTGAAAACCACGCGTTCGAGTCCTCGATCGCGTAGGTGAGGGAGTTGATGTATGCAGCGAGAGACGCAGAGGAGGAAGCGTCGACGCCAGAGACGAAGTGGTATGAGCCGAGATCGCGCTGGCCGGTCTTTCCCGTGCTTTTCACGACATGGCACAAGTCGGGTGGTCCGAGCTCCCTGAAAGTGGCTGCAGTGCGTTAGCATTCAGTCGTGCATTGCGAAAATACTCACAAAGACTCTCCGTTCGAGCGGTGAGTGACTCTCCGAGGTCGACCTGCGAGAATTCGTTCAATGGGAACGGGCCGATCGAGCAGCTGTCCCACCTCAAAAAGTTCCGGGATGTCCTTAAATGTCGCGGTCGCTTCTGCCATGGACGGGTCCTTGAAGAACAAAGTTTAGATTGAAAATTGGACGTTTGAAGAAGCGCGCAAAGACCTGGATAGGCTTGCGCCACGATCATGAGCGAAAGCTGTGGACAGAGTGTACATCCACGTACCTCCGAGATATAGCTGGCTGATGCTCAGTAGGATCTGAATGGACAATAGACCGTCAGTAAATGTTATTGGCGACCCAGAACGAAAGGAACAGAATGAGGTAAAAGGTCTCTGTACAGCTACAAGTAGACACGTTTTCGTAACTGCGCGTCACGAAATATTTCGTGTCCCTCAGACAGAATAAAATGTCTGAATGCTGGTCTTGAGCATCTCCGAGGGAGGTCGGTATGTCGCGTCGAAGAACAATCGGGAAGCACGAAGAATAGGAATGAAAATTTAAGGTGCAGATGGCGTACCTTCAGTACCCGATACCAAGACAATCTTGGACCAAATCCGCGCCGTGTTTATAAGCGTGGATCCCAGTTGAAGGTGAATCTTCCCAATATAAGCCTTGCTGGACACGAGAGCTCCAGCAATGGACAATGAAGAAAGTGCACCGGCGAGGAAGCAGTTGTAAACAACTTGAAGACGGACTGATGGCAGACGAGCGCTAAATCGGGCCGGGCGTTTATTGGAAAATATCTGTGATTCCTCTATGCG